GCAAACTAAGTTCTTCTCCTATTCCAAACTGCTTGGAAATATCCCAAAAAGCTAATCATAGGTTCTTCTCTCCATTAGAACAATGATATCTATATAGAAGTATAATATAATTTAAAGAATAAATGGATAATAAATAGTAAAGAATAATTCATTTTGAACACCCACCATACATACTCCTAACTCAGTCAAAAGATTCCTTAAAAGGCTTGGTCATAGGCTTGCCCGAATACTTCATTTTAGATTCTGGATGAAAGATGTACGAGATGCATCTTTATATGGATGTAGACTATCTTTCACAAATGCGGTTGGTGCATCTGGATGTGGAATTACTTTGTTTTTGCTGCAAGACACAAAAAATTTCAATTCTCTCATGCTTGCTTAATTATGTATTCATACGAAATGCACAACGGATTGTGAACACTTTTACCTCAACATATGCATAAAACACACATTTATTGACATTAAAACACCTTAAACCAGCGTAAAATATCTACCTTTTGCTCTTGAAATCAAGGGCTATCAATCCTACATAAGGAAGTTTTATATAGAGTCACCAAAGTGATATGACCATATGCACCTATGCCTTAGTGATAACTCTCCAAAAGAGAGTTATTTTATTAATAATTTGGGTCAATCTATGTGTTAATGTGAGGATTTTTGTCTAAATCACATGCTAAAGTGCGGAATTAAGTGAAAAAAGCTAATTGTCATGCTATATCTCCTCGTGTTACTAACTTTATGCAAAGTTCAGCTTATTTTCCCTTATTTTTGGTGTAATTGTGCACAATATGGAGATGTTGCTAAAGTACAAACGAGACAGAGGAGAATTGTTGGAACTTTGTTATATCATAGCATGCTGTGCTAGAGCATTAGTTTGTGGCCACAAAACTAGACATTGCAATAACTTTTATGCACCCGAATTTTAACCGCATTCGTACAAAGCCTGCGTGTTGACTTAAAAGTAAGGCCCTGTATAAAAGCTTGTATTAACCCGGCCGACAGGACATATCCCAAAGAAGGAATTGTTTTTTAAAGTACTGAAAAGACAGAGGAAGTCGTCCCCATTTTTGGAAGGAAGCTGATGAAAGGAGATGGAGTCGCTGGTTTCTCACTGAGCTAGAGGGCTCTGATCATTTTCCAGTAGTTTTTCACTAAATGGACTGCTGATCTCTTTTACCTATTGTATTATCTTTATTTCTCATGAGCTAAACCTCATTTTCGAGGGGGGGGTGGCATGTTTTGCTTGAATTTTTCCATCTTGTTGATTTTGTTACCCATCATTATCAGTTTGTTAGCTCTTGTATGACTCGAAAAAGTGTATAGGAAGCTTGTTTGACTCTATTTGTGGTCAGTCTACTTTTTTCTATTAGGTTTGTGGATGTTAAGGAATAAGGTTCACCTAATTATGCTTATAAATTGTTTTAATGCTTGAGTATTTAGCAACGGAAGTTGTGAATACTCAATTCTGGGTGTCTTGGAAGGGACCCATGTTAGTTTGAGCATCAGGATGCGATTTCATGCTAGAGCGTCTTCTGTGAGGGAGTAGAAGCATATAGCGATCTCCCTCATTCTCGTCTCATTATTTGTTTCCCCCTTTCTGTTTGTTTGCTAAAGTATTTCTCTACCCCAACATCTTTAGTTTATAGTACTTTCGTCCTTGAGGTATCTCTATTAGTTTTCTTAGTTTTAGCTATATAACCTTTAATTATATTTTGTTTGCATCTTTAGTATTCTTAATCATGCATTTATAGTAATATACCTATTCCCCATGGATTTCTACCTTGTTTGTACTACAATCGACAAGAATATGTACACATTCACTTGCATTCACATAAGTTGATGACACAGCAAACATGCTAGGCAATTTGAAATGATTAAGTGTAAGTGTATGGTAAAAAGGAAAATACGAAATCAATCCAAAATGTGGGTGAATCCTCAAGTACTATACTAAAGACTTCACGCAAGTACAACAACCTAGCCACCAGGATCTACTCTCTGAAATCCAAATTACTCGATCGTGTTTGCAGCCACCACCTTTTGATTTAATAAAACTTAGCACATTTACTTCTTGCAACAGGCAAACAATGGGTACTAGCGTAGGGCTTGTTTTCCAAAATTTCCTAGGCAATTTATTGGCAGTTGTTGGAAGGTAAAAATCGACACGACACATGTACCAATCAACTACGCTTGGGAAGATTAGTTACACTTATTCAGCTTAAAGGAGAAGTCCAACCTACTCCCAGAACCTAGCAGGAGCTAGATAAATGGGAGAATCCCCAAGTTTCCCCTAACCAACTTAAGGGATACTGACCTCAAATTTGACAATCTGTAACCGTCCCAAGCTCTTGTGGAAACGACCCTAACGAACTTGTCACCCCACACTGCCTATAGAAGGGGCACCATTCCTCCACTCAGGTACACTATTCTTTCTGAGACTGACTTACTACGTTCGAACGCTTTCTAACTTGAGCTTTGAAGTGTTTGTTCCTTACGTGCAAGTCTCTCCTCCATAGCTCGTCCAGGTTCATTGGAAGCGATCTTCGAAGGTTGGCAAAATTCAACATCAACAGCGATCAAGATTGCAACTATATCCAACAAAAATTTCTCCCTTGAAAGCAAAGCTTCTTGCAATCTAGGAGGGACTTCGTTGGGCAAGAGTCCTCAGATTTCTATCGCCCAATCATTGAGTCAGATTGTCTACCAGCAGGAAATTTGTCAAACAAAGAAAGAGGAAAACTGTATTGGATACTCAACATTCATGACACTTAACTCTTTCTCCACACGATTTCATACATGCACATAGGAAGATCTTTGAATATAACACGACTCCCACCATAGTCCACGTAGCATTTTCAAGTAAATAAAAGTGGACTCTTTTAGCCTTAAAAAAGAAGAACTTAAATCTATATTTAATAATTCAATATAAAAAATAAAAAATAAAAAAAAGAAAAGAAAAAAGCCTTTTGCTCTAAAAGAAGAAAAAATAGTTTCCATTTGTGTAAAATCTTGGAGAGTTGTTTGTCGTCTTAAAATATTGTTCCCATCCCCAATCCAAAAACGCTACTGAGCTACGGAAACTTTTTTCAAACGCTGAAGAAGAAGAAGAAGATAATTCAGGATCCATCAACTTCCACTTCCATGGATTCTCACTCTCAGATCTTCCTCCAAACCCTCTAGGTTCTCCATTTTCCTCTCTCTGCTCTCTATTTCTTGTCTCGATTCCTCTTTTTTGTCCTTTTTTTCTTCTCCACCTTGTGATTATCTATCTCCCATTGTCCGCGGCGTTTTGCGCCCTTCGATTCTATCGTTTGTTGCTTCTGATTGGCGCGATTCTTCTCCGGCGATGTACTGATTGTGGATCCTCTTCGGTTGTTTCTTCTTTCGCTTCTGCATTTTCTGAGTCGGTTTCTGCGATTCTGGATTTGGATTCCTCTAATGCTGTAATTCTGATTAGTTTCTTTGGTGCTTTGCTTCTCCGTTGCTGGATTTCCAGAGTGGGAGCTTGCTGTGGTGCTGGTGATGGATATGGCGGACTGACACT